ATACAGTATTTGTCCTTTGGCGACTGATTTATTTCACTTAATGTCTTCAAGGTTCAACCATGTTGTAGTATGTGTCAGAATTTTATTCCTTCTTAAGGATGAATAATATTCCATTGTATGCATATACCATATTTTGGTATCTGTAATATCTTTCAATGGACATTTGGGTTGTTTCCACCTTTTAACTATTGTGAATAATCCTGCTTTGAATGTGGGTGTACAAATATCTCTTTGTGCTTCTGCTTTCAATTCTTTTGGGTATATACTCAGAAGTGGAATTCCTGGCTCAAATGGTAATTCTATGCTTAATTTTTGAGGAACCACCATACTGTATTTTAAAGTCTATTTCCTTTCCCCCATGGTTCAAAGATGGGCTTAGTCATTTTGGATGATGAACAACTGGGAAAGAATTACTAGTATAGGATGAGTAACAGCCAAACAAGCTTCAGCCTTGCTGGCTTCCTCCTGGTTTCTGTAAGAGCTGTCATCCTTGATAGTGCATTGCTGTGAAAACTAGTGTTTCTCCGCGTGATCCGGGAAGCACTGGCATCAAACTTATACATGCAGATTCATGAATGTCACCCCATCTATTGATTCAGAATCCTTGGAGGGGAGGGGAGGCTGGACATTTTGCACTTTAACAAGCTCTGCAAGTGAATCTTGTGCACACACAAGTGCAAGAACACCTGCTAAGCGAAGCTGCTTTGGTGGATTCTAACTGCAATCATCAGATTTAGAAACACTGAGTTCTCAGAACCATCCTGAAAATGCTTGAAGAGGTTCTTTTCACTCAACTTCAGAGAGACAGCATGAAGTCTGATTAAAGATGCTTGTATGAATTCATGGTATGGAATGAGTACTATACAATTTACCAAATATTTAAACATGATCACATGATTCTAATATAGCAATTCTAACAAGGTCCTGTTGAACCTTAGTGAAGGATGGGTAGACTCCTTGGCTAGCCCGTGTCCTGGTCCTCACCATATCCTCTTCCATGACAGTGTAGGTTTTGCATGTTAACTGATGTCGTGTGTCCCACTGGATTGCAAATACCTGGTAAAGACATTCTCTTACACTGGAGCATTTAAAAACAATGACACAGATTCTGTCTGGTCTCCCAGGTAGTTGTTCAAAAGTTTTTAGTTTTTTTTTTTTTTTTTCCTTTTTGTCTTTTTTACTGACCGGTAACGGGATCGCAACCCTCGGTGTTGTGCCCGCACCTCGCTCAGCCAGTGAGCGGGAACCGGTCTCCACATGGGATCCGAACCCTCGGCGGGAGTGCCGCCATGCTCCCAAGCGGCACACTCTCCAGTGCGCCACCGGGCCGGCCCTAAGTATAGTTTTCATCAATCACTTCCATGATTCTAGCTACTTCTAATTTTAAATGAGGCATAATGTACAAATACTGGAAAGCAAGGCCTCCTCTCCTTCAAAACACACTTTACCATACCTCTGAAGCAAGGAGCCCCCTCTCTCTGCGTGG